TACGTAATGGTAACTGAAAGGGTACTTTGAGAAGAACTACAATGAATCAGCAAAATACTCACAGTTGTGTTTGAATGTGGGATCTCAGGTTGTTTTCCTTTGACTTGATGTAATAATTTGATTAATTTTACTTGTAATACAAAAGAAATTATAAAGAATGTTATCTGACCCTCAGATGTCTCTTATCTTGGTTTAAGTTACAGATTTACTGTTTTTGTTGTTTTATTTATATTTTCCTCTTTTTCTCTCAATTGGATAATCCTTCAAAACTGACAGGACCTATATTACACATTATAAGACACAAAGTGATTTATTATGTAAATGCTATTGAAAATATCAGGAGTGTATTATTTGCTTTCATTTTAATGGGCTGGAAAATGCTGGTTATAATTTTCAATGATTTGAGTGTCTTGCAAAGTAAAGAAGAAAAGGCAAGTGAGGAAGCAAAAATTAAATTACACACACACACACACACACACACACACACAAATCTGAGGTGGCAACTTCCTGTAAGTACTATACAGCTCTGCCTTTGAGGAATTTTTTTTTTATTATTCATGAGTATTTTCAAAAAACATGAATGTGGCTGCTAGAAAGCCCTGTGAGAGAACAGAGTGTTACCTGGTTAGTGTCCTGGTTTGTTGATTTGAAAGTTCTTTCTGCCCCTAAATTAGCTTTGGTTCTGACTTCTCTAGCAGTATGTGTGTGCATGCATGCGTGCGTGTGTGCGTGCATGCATGCGTGCGTGCATGCGTGTGTGTGCATGTGCTTGAGTTTGTGTGAGTGTACATGTGCATGAGTGTGTATGACTGTTTGAATGTGTGAGAATGTGTGTGTGTGTATGCACATAAATAATGTCCTCATCTGTCACTTGAGACAGGCTATTTCACTGAGTCTGCCCCCTTTCCTCCTATCTCTCCCAACATTGCTTGTGGGGTTACAGTTGCATGGCAGTGCATAGACTTCTATGTCAGTGCTGAAGATTTGAACTCAAGTCCTCATGACTGGGCAGCAAGCTCTCTTAACCACACAACTATCCCCTAGCTCTGCAGAAAAATGTTCTTAATAAAATAAGTCAAACTGGATTCGAATGTGAATGCATGCAGAGGCTTTTAGCCTTACCATTGAATGGTAGTTAACTTTACCAGTCAGTGAGTGTATTGAGTATTTCTAAGTTACAGGAAGATTTACAGGACATTCAGCTAATGCCCTTCTCCAAGAGCCTAATAAAAATCTTGAGCAGGAAATGTTTCTGAGATTTATTTTAGGTTTTAGGAGAAACTGACCATCAGCTAAGTTTTTTTTCTAATACTTACAAATATTGTGTTGTCTGTCCAACCATTATGTTAAGTTGTAATAGCATGATTGACTTATATCTGTGTTTACTGTATGTTCCTAGAAAATCCTTTTCTATCATTCTGGTAATGGAAAGCTGGCAAAAAAGTATTTCCCCGTCAGGAAAACTGACTTATCTAAATATTTAAGAATATATTCAATGGTCCACCTGGTAGTTTATATGATCGAAACACAAATAAAGATAGAGGTTAAAATGGAAAGAAGTAGCCTGTTTCCTTACTTGAGGCAGAGAAGTGTATAAATGAGTGAATAATGACTACTTTGGGGTATATATAAATAGTGTAATAAGAATTTTAAAAATGGGATGCTTCAGTAAGACTGGAGTAATAAATGGTTTAATATCTAAGGTCAGATTAGACCTGTGAAATCATCTAAATAACTTTAACAAAGTTAATGGGCAAATAAATGGCCCATTTTTAGATACTTTTTCTTAAACACAAGTGCAAAGATTTTCCTTTTATGTTGTTTTACTTTCAATGACTCCAGAAAGATACTATCTATCCTGCTCGTGCTCCCTGGGCATTACTGAGTGTGTGCAATGCAAAAGAGATCATAATGAAATCCTTATGGAACATGATCAAATGTTCTCATATGCGTATGTTTTCATAGCTTTTAGCCAGTTGGTTGACTATTATTGGGCTTTTCTAAAAGAATGTTATAATTTTTTAAACTTGATTTATATGTATTATTAGTATTTTTGTATGTACATGATAGAGGCAAGGGTGAGGTCATGGTATGTGTGTGATATCAGAAGAAAACTATGTAGAGTCCTTCTCCTTCTACATTTACATGGGATCTGGGAATTGAACTCTAATGGACAGATTTGTAGTCAGGCAGTAAGCCACCTTTACCCACTAAGGTCTTTTGCTGGACTCAGAATTTTATTATTAAAATCCAGAAGCCATTTCTTTATTGATTAATCTTCATTTTGTGATGTGAACTAGTGTAAGCACTTGAAGGTCACTTCCTTTGCAGAACCTGTGGCAAAACCTCACCTAATTCTCCACACTAGTTTGAGTGGCGATATCACACAATCCCACCACTTATTGCACAGATTTATAAATGAACATGTTCGGTAGTATTTAAAATTTCTCTGAAAAGATGGTTGGTGTGTCAAGTGCAAAATAGGAAGTGCTATTTTAAGAGTAAGAAAGTCATGCAGAGTCCATCTCTGTACGTGTGTGCGCACTCAATGATTTAGATACTTCTAAATCTGTCTTTGTTCCTCAATAACAGCATGGAACCTGCTGTAAAAACCACTATTTTTTGAAGCCCAATAGCAATTAAGAGAGGCTAATTGCTCAGGAGAGACAGGGTGGATGAATGTTAGGGAAGTGGTATAAGAGGTATGCAAATCTGAATTTAAAACTTTGCCTTTTCTTTCAAATGTGCTCCCCACTCCCAACTGGATAAATGAGTTCCTTTCTTCATCACAGTGTGCAAAAGCTTAACAGGAGAAAGCAGGGTCTAAATTTGTTGACAATTCATTCTGAAAGGAATGACTACATATTGACTGTATCATTGGAAAAGGGAACACTGAGATGAACCGACTGTTTTGTCTCGAAAGAATAAATACACGAATTATATATCCCTGTAGACCCATTAAAGTAGAAAAGTTACATGTTAGAATTATACTGTAATTTCAAAATATTTTCTTTGAAAATTCAAATTCAAAGCCATTTAAAATTCAAATCCAGGCAGCTTACTTCTTGTGCTTGCCTGAGTTCTTCATTTCAGGCTAAGCTGCTAAGCCCACCATTCACACTACTAGTCCAGGGCTTCTATCAGCTTCACTCAGTGACATTTCATTGTCTTAGGGTTTTTGATGGGCAAAGGACATTGGGAAAATGTACCCTAACACTAATCTCTCCGCAAATGCTGTTGCAGCACACTCTGTTGCCAAGGTAACGAAATCACTTCGGTCTACACTGAAAACATCCTCAGCATGTTTTACGTGTATCCACAGCCAGACTTTTCATGCTGCTACCAGATTTCTGTCACTATGAAAAGATACCTGGGATTATCAGTTACAACATGGAGATTCTAACTGAGACTCATGGTTTCAGCATATTCACTCCACTGGTGCTTGGCCCCATTGCCTGTGATTAGTCAGAATTTAATGGTAGAAACACTAAGCAAGGGAACATACTTACCTCATGCCCATTAGAAAACAGAAAAAGGCACAGGAAATGGCAAAGAGTCCAGTATCTCCTTCAAAGGCACGCATCCAATGACCTAACTTCCTTTCATTAAGCCAAATGTCCTAAAGATTTCATCATCTGTCAATATCACCAAGAATCGTATCTTCAACATATGAGACTGGGAAGACATTCAAAATCCAAATTATACTGCAAGCTCAACATGATTGTATTAATTGTATTTTGTGAGAAAGTCATACATGAAGAATATATCTACATCACTCTCACCCAACCTATATGATCAAACTCCCCATATGATCTCCTTCCAAAATTTATATCTTTTCTTTAATTACTGTTGTTATATGTGTATACAACCAACTGAATCTACCCAGATTTTTTTTGTATGGATATATATGATTGACCATATGGGATTGAACATCTTATGTAAGAGTGCATCCCTAAAAGGGGATTAATTCTCCCTCTCTCAGCAGCCAGTGACTACATGAGGCTTTCTTTATCTAGGAGTGGTTTAGGTGAATTTTTCCTGTTCCCATTGGCTTGCCAACTGATGTTGTCTTGAGAGTCCTGCTCTGGCAACCATATTGTGAGGTTCTTATAATCTTTCTTATAACCCCATAGTTTCCCCCTGAGCCTTGGAAATATGTGCTGCATTGCAAATGTATTAGCTGGGGCTAGACAGCCCACAGCCTCTTATTCTCCATAGTGTTTTCTAGTTGTGGATAATAGTAATAGTCTCCATCTGATGCAGAAAAGAACTTTCCTTGATGAGAGGTGAGGCCTAGACAAATCTGTGGGTCTAAAGATATATGTATTTAGAACATGGCTAGAAATTATATTGATTTTGGAAAACGATAGTAGTAGGTTCTTCTGTAGCCTGTGACTCCTCCAGCTATAACTAGTTGGCTAGGTTTACAAAACCAGACATGAAGTCCCTCCAATTGTGTAGCTCTTTAATCTAATTAGATGGCTGTTGATTAACCCTGAGCTAGAGGTCCTGCTATTGCCTAAAAGGGTTATGTTGGTAGTCAAGTTGTTGTGGTTCTTAGGCTTTTCAGTGGTGTAGGTCTACTGGTTACCTTTCTCCCTTGGTAGCTTGCAGATTACTTTCAGATACTATGGGATCCAGCCCACGTGGAGGAGGCTTTCTGATCATTTCTGTCCCCATTCTTCCAAGTCCTGTGTCTAAAGTGTGTGGTGTCAACATAAAGTTCTTGTCTTCAAGTTCTGGAAGGCAACAGGGGCAATGGAAATAGCGTATATTATTTTGAGAGTCTCTTTGACTCCATTGACCAACAAGTTGAAGGGAGTTTTCTAATGTCTTATACTGGGGTTTTTATTAGCTATTACATTTTTTCTTGGGGAGAGCATCGTGTGTGTGTGTGTGTGTGTGTGTGTGTGTGTGTGCGCGTGCGCGCGCGCACGCGAGCGCACGCGCGCATAGGTCAGCACATAGCAACGGTAGAATCTGAGGGATCTGGTGAGAGCAGTAGGGCTTGATGGGAACACAGAAAGTCTGAGTTATCGGCAGTCTGTAGGGATTAGAAATAGAGCTAGGACTTCAAAACTATATTGGTTTTGGAAAATGGTTGTAATAGGTTCAGTGGTAGCTATTCTAAGAAATTGGAAGGAATTGTCCAAATTCCTCTGACAGGCAGCTAGCTCACTTGACCTTGGGGTAAAGTGCAACAGAGTAAAAGTTCCTCCATTGGCCTGGTCTCTAAATTGCTATGGACAAAGATAGCCTGTGGTGACTCTCCAGGTAGGGAAAACAGTAGACCTTGACATAAGTTGTCATTGAAAACTACTTACAAACTAACAAAAAGTAAAACCCCTCACTTATTTTACCACGCCAGCATTTCTTGGGTTCAGAATTTGTTAGGCATCCGTTTTCAGTCTATACTCAATGGCCTGACTTGTTTATAATCAATAGCTTTGTTGATGATGTATGACTGAATTCAGTGTTGGCAATCCATTTTTGTTTTCTTGCAGAGAAGAGTTCCCTCAACAACCTACACAGAAATCACTGCTACTCTTGTGGAGTGGTAGTCCTTTCCTCTGTCCTGTACTCAAAGGACAGCTGCATTTTCTCATGTCAGGACCTACCCAGTCTCTTCAGCCAACCCACACTGATAAACAAAGAGGTGACCTCAACCCTGCGCGTGTTCTCCTTACATAGCAGGATTCCTCTCTGTCTATATGACTTCAAAGAGAGCGGTGAGAGGCTGTAGGGTAGATTGAAACACTGTTAGCATCATATTCCTTTCATACACATGACACAGGCAGAATCAGGAAACACCCGGATGACTTTAATAAGCATTAGTTTAACATTTAGAAAGTAAGAATTCTGTATAATTGAGCAAGCAAATAGATTTACATAAATAGTAAAACTCAATCAAAGCCTTCAATATGTCTGTTTCCCACCCCATGCCCTGTGTACGTAAATCTGAAAATATGTAAAGTCAATTATTGGCAAGAAGTTTTTGATATACGTTTGTCCTAAATCATCACTTAACTGCTACTTTTCTCCTGTTAGTAACAGTAATTCGGCATTAGCGTTTTTCTGCATATCACACCTCTTCACACATACAGAAGTGATGCATGTACATACACATGGAGTTTTGGGCTACAGAGATTATTTTAATTCAATCCTCCTGGCTCTGTTTTTTTTTTTTTAAGTTACTTAAGAAAAGCCCTGGAACAAATGTCCCTAAGACATGGATCATCTTTACCACCCAGACTTCATTCTACAAGAATGAAGGTAGAACATGGGATTCCTGGTCCTTAAGAATGATGTCAGTGGGCTTTGTGACTTCATGTTGTCTGAAACACTAAGTGGAGAAACCTTCCAAACCAGGGCATTTTGGAATGCTGGAATATTTCATGTGATTATAGGGCTTTTGTCCATATTCTGATCATAAACTTTCATAGATGGTTTGTTGTTGTTTGTATTGAGTTATGTGGCCCACACTAACCTTCTACACTTCAGGGATCTTCCTGATTTAAGAGTCTCAAAATAGCTAGGACTTCACATCTTACCAGCTTCTTTTAACCGGTGTTCACTAGCCCTCTATTTTTTCTACACATTAGGCAGACATTGATGCTCAGTTATTTTTTTTTCTGTGCTGCTCATACTCTCATTTAGTGGGGAAGAAGCCCCGAGTCCTCCAGGAACTGTTCATACTGTAAAGTCTGATATTACACAAGAATAGTGAATTTTAACAATGTTAGGCTCTAATCAGTGAATAATAAATATTTTCTTGTCAATTAGTTCTTGAGTCTGAATATATTGTCTTATGCAAAAGTGTTTTATTATAGTTAAAATATCTCAATTGTGTCTGAGGCAGTCACAGTGGACTGGGATGGAGAGCTGCCTTACCAACCGAGTATTTCATATTTTCTTTCTTTGAGCCCCATGGCTCAGTAGGAAATTTAGAAGAATCCACAGCTTAATGGTGACTGAGAATCAGGGCTGATTCTAGCAAGCCAATCACATAACTTCATTTGAGCACATTTTCCTAAGGAGTATGAACAAAAGAAGAAATTGAGGTTAGTAATTACTTCTTAAATTAGGTACATGGTGACCTTGTGCAAAATCCCCTACAATTCTGAGTAAAAAAGACATATTCCACAGCCCACAGTAGACAGCGATAATTACAGAAGTAATTCTGGAAGAAAAAGAAAGGAAGCCTCTTCGAGTTGTTGACTCCAGCTGTTCTCCTGAAATGAATCAGAAACCTAGCACTGCAGAGCTCTCTTAGTAGCTGCTTTAAAGTTACAGGGGAATGAGAATCAAAGGTGCAGGCTTGCAGAGTGAGGCTGTGGTATTATCTGCGACATTGTGGAGGGTCCTACCAGCTCATAAACGCACACTTGAAGAAGAAAATTCATAAACTATTAATAATCAGAACCATGCACCTTTCCTTGCCGTACTTTATCAACAGTCATAGGCCTGCCTCATAGGAGAAGGGCATTGTTTTCTTAAAATCTTATTTTTCGAATCTTAGATGCACAGGTTTATATTAAGTGGAGCAAAAAGGATCTAGTGATACTTGAGGTTGTTGTCAGGAAGTTGCTACTCCTGAGGCATTTCAGAAAACTTAGGAGGACAGTGTGTGGATAGAGTCTTAAGTTACAGCAACCAGGTTTGAATTCTGGCTCTGTTGTTTACTGTGTGACTTGGACATATAAGCACACTGAACCTCATGCTTTCAGTTACAATGAAGGCCCAAACTCATAGTTGTGTTTCAGTGTCACATTAATCATGCCCATAAAGCCACTATATCCTGTTGTTTTAGGTTTGGCTACTATCAGAATAACTTAACTGGAAATAGTTACATAAACTACTGATGCAGTAAACCAGATCTTTTAAAAAGTACTATAAAGTGCACTCCCATCCCAAGATAATAGCTACTCTTAGTCCTAGCCCAGAAGTGGAGTCAGGCCTTGTTCGTAAGAAGTAAACATCTTTCTCTAAAGAAATAAAAAATTACTGCTGTTTGTCCCTGTGTTGGAAGGGAGGAACTGGTAGTCAATGTTGGAGATAATTCAAATCTTCCTTCAATTTAGTAGTTCAGTGGTCATGAAGGATTTGAAACAGAACTCTTCCAGGGAAAGTGATAGTGGATAGATTGATTTTAGTTATGGGATCTAGGGTTAAACACCACAAAAGAACTAAAAACAAAGAGAAAAGAGAGGTCTTGACACTGAGGGTCAGCTGGGCTACATATGAAGAGAGATCACGTTGAATCTGTTCCCGAATCTGCTCCCCAGCCAGAGGAATGGTGTGAGGTAGCAGAAGTCATCTGAGTCTCTTTTGTAAGACAAACTCCTAGGGCAGTGTGAAGACTGAGGTTGCGTTCCATTATCCAATTATAATTAACTCTATCACCTGAGGTCACAGATTTGATTTCTGACTTGTCTGTTTCTCATGAAGTTTGAAAACAGAACAACAACCTACATGTGTCTTCAAGTGGTGGATACTTGATCATTTGGCTGCTTGGTAAAAACTCCTCACTCATTTATCCACCTCCAATTTTAAGACCAGCACTGGTTCCAATGGGAGGACAGGGTTCTACAAGGGAATTTCTGCAGTTCTGTATTTAAGGCCAGTGTGAAAGAACATTAAGTGATTCCAAGCTGGAAGAGAAGAGAGCTACATTGGTATTATGGCATGTTTAAAGCAAATGTAACTCATTTTTTTACAGACTGCTTGAAGAGAGTTCCTGGGGAAGATCGTCCCCATGGCCCTCTCATCAAAAGTTCAGATCTGCATTTTCAGAGAACAGAATGTGATTTCATCCAGAGATCTGAAACACTCTTAAACGTTAAAACTTTTTTTCCTAAGATGTTCTAAGGTAAGAGTTAATTCTGCCTCTTCCTTTATATCTGAGCCCCTCAAATGAGTTTTAAAGCCATAGTAGAGTAAACTCTGAAGAAAAGAAAAAAAAAATGAGTATTTTTGCAAAAAGAAATCACAGAGTTTAGGAAACTTAGGGACCCATCAACTTTCTCTTTTTGAAATATGAACTAATTATTTTATTTTTTCCCTTCCTCTCTCCCTCCTTCCCCTCTCCATTGATTCTTCCCTGACATCTGACCCAGTGTGGAATGTATTGTCTTTATAGGTACTGTTATTGCAGATAAAGCTGGAAGTATTGATGATCAGTATGGAAATGATGAGGAATACACAATTCAGCTAGGAAAGCATCACCATCTGGAAACCAAGGACCTCCCCTGTGCCATGCTTTGGAGAGGATGCACACTTGAAACAGGAACTCTCTCGGAACTGAACTGGGACACTTTAAGGATCTTATGACAACCCTTTACTACATAAAAGGTTTGAGATTTGTTAAAGGATTTATTGCGTGTTACTTTATCCAGGAAGGGAATTGTAAGATATTATTTCCATTTCTCCAGCCAGAGTTACATTAAACCAAATATGTGGACTAAGGAGGTATGACATCATGAGATAAGCTCACATTGTTACAAAGTGCCGTGCAGGCACACAGAGCCTACAGTTCTCTTAGGGACTTCCAAAACACTTCATCTGAAGCACAAATAAATAATTTTCATAGAAAAAGAATTGAGAAGTAGAAGCAGAATTATAAAATGACAGATGAGCCAGGCATCCAAAGCTGCATTGATTCTTTGCCTTTACATTTGTATCCTCAGAATTTGGGCCTGAAGGTAGAAAACAGCCAAAAGAAACACCTTCAATCCTGTGGATCAAGCAAGTGACATGACTGGGAGCTGCAGATGGCATCTGTCACGTAATGCACACAGCCAAATCACACCTGTCGCTGTTTGTAAGCAAAAGAGAAACAGCCATTTGCATAGATCAGGCTCTTTTAATTCTCAGTGTGCCTGACTTCAGTTTATCTCGTGGAAATCAGAAAGATTAAGCAAATTAAGACAAAACAGGCAGCGAGCAAGTCCTTGATCTAGAAGAAGAAAGAAGCTCTGGGATTTTTATGTTTTTTAGATCTCATAGTAATGACAAGAACAGACATTTACAGAACTGTAGCTGATTTCTTTGTGAGCTGGTAATTACTCCACTCACTGACAGGGGACAGTGCATATCAGACTGTGCCCCAGTTGGCTTTAGATTTAAATCAAATCTACAGGTCTTATTTTTGTCATATCTGAATAAATAAAGTAGTATACATGGCACCCAAAAGACTAATTAGGATCACACTACATATACACAGGCAATTAAAAAGTGTATTCATAAAGCACTTATCATGCATGTCACATGTTATATGCTTATTTCATATATTTACTTTGAATACAGGTAGCATGTAATAATCATTTAGATATCATATATATATTTCATAAAATGATATCAATAGGATCTTTAGAATAATGCATCTCATATGTATTTATAATTATATGAATTATATAAATATATAATATATTTTCCATAAAACACACAATCAGAATTCAAAGGGCAAAATATAACTCATGTATATAGAAAAAATAAGTTAATTTTTTTGGGGGAAAAAACTATAGATGATTAGTCTTAGTTGTATTTCATACATATTTTGATGACATTTTTTAATATCTCAGGGACCATTGCTCCATGCTTTTGTTCTTATAATGAAGTCAGTGTTTATAGGAGAGGCCAAGACAGGCTCAAATACCTACATCACAGAGCAGGATACAGGTGCTCATCCATGGTGTCTTCTGATGCTCTAGTCGATGGGCACTGATACTTGTGTGACCACTGTTTGTGTTTATGTGTTCTACGGTGTAAGTATGGAACTGTCCTGAGCAAATCTAGACACGCAGAGTGAGGGCAGACTGAGAAGTAACTTCCATCTTAACCTCTACTATAGGTGCCTTTGAGGTCTGCCTAGTGATGAGTTATAGTTTATGATAGCTTGAAAAGTCTTGCTTGTAGCAATTACTACATAATAGCATAAAAATATGCTGACAGACTGCACAGACTCTTGTTTATCTCCTTTTATTTTGAAGAAACTCCTTTCTCTCTCTCTCTCTCTCTCTCTCTCTCTCTCTCTCACACACACACACACACACACACACACACACACACTGAGTGGAGAAGTGGTGGGGAAGGAGGGAGGGAGGAAGCCTGACAGGGTGGCTTGGCTTTTGTTTTTGTACAACAATAGCATGGTGATATTGGGAAGCATGGCAGATACCCTAAATCGAGCAGCACTGACTACAAACCATTTCTACACCTCAGGCTTATTCGCCAACACCATCTGTGTGTCTGTCCTGTGCCTTATTCTCCATCTTTCTCCCGTTCTTAGAAAGAAGGGCAAATGTTTGACTTCTGCCCTCTCATTATTCCCATCGCCATACATTAGGGCATGGTGATATCTTGCACTATATCTAGGGTTCCTTTATAAAATTCCTTTTTAAATGAAAAGATCCACCTTTCTTCTTTCTTCTTCCAATCCTTCCCATGCACTCTCCTTCCAAACCCCTTGATGGTCCCTTCCTCATTCCTAAATTGACAGCTGCTTTTTCTTTGATATTATTGTTACATGCACAAACATATGCAAATCATGTGAACTTAACCTGCTGAGTCTTTTTTTCCCTTTGTTGGTTTCTCTGAATACAGTTTCAGGGCTGAACACTTTGCATTAGGTAACTAGTTGGGGGCTCATCCCTGGGAAGGGGAAGCTACTTTCCTCTCTCTCTCAGTAATACTTTGTTGCCTATAGTTCTTTGTCTAAGGTTGAGATCACATAATGGGCAAAGATATCACATATGAAATTATCCAGAAAAGAAATCCCATAAACCAGTGTCTTAGTATTTTAGCTATCTTCCTGTGGAACTCTATTTCAATGTTAGCTGTTGGATTTGACCTCTGTAGCTCGTGGATAACAAACCTGCATTTCCCCAAAGGATTGGCACTTGCAGTGTACACACGAAAATATAAAAGAAGAACCAAGGATTAATCATTTATTGAAATGTCAGCCATTTAACATTCTACAGGATGTATTTGGATCGGATTATTGTTAATTAGTGACAATCAATCACACAGTTATTAAATCATAGTAGTGTAGAAACTCTTCCAACTTTGAAGATGTTCTTCTTAAGCAAAATACAGTGTGTTTCAGTTCTGGGCAGCACCTATTTTAGGGATCATAAGCTTGCATTTAGAAATGAATGAATGATGTGATTTTTAACTTCTTCCCATGTCCCTGTTTTTGATTCAAGGTCCTCTGAATTGCCAAAGAAACAGTGGGTGCTTTCTCAAATCCTATCGGAATATGCTCAGAAGTTGAATGAATCATTTAAAACTATTGTTCAGGTCAGACACTAAAATTTACAGGATTGTTCTTTTTCTGTTATCATGTAACAGGAGGAAGATTGGTAAACCAACAAGCCATGCTGTTGTTAAGTACAGCAGAGAGCTGATTAAACAAAGGATTCAAATGAACTAAATTACTGGAAGTAATGAGTGCTTTTCTAAGGCAGGAAACTTAACTCTGCCCTTTTCATTGTAGATCAGTAAGAACAGGAAAAACCCACTATAGACAGGAATGAGGAGAAAGAAGTCAAGCTCTTAACAGCTATGTGTGACTGGCTTGGTGGAGAAATTCCCGAGGAACCCTAAGTAAAGAGGAAGCTGTTTCCACTTGTCTGTGATTCCCTTTGGGCCTTTGAACAATACAGCAAGAGAGAGTAAAGACTGGCAGGGACAGGTTTGATTGCTGAGAGGAAGCTCCTCTGTGGTTCATAGGACATCCTTACCTACAAAGCATTGGCTGTTAAGTCTGAGGTTAGGGAAGGAGAACATAATGTATATCTTGCTTAGAAGTTTTGAAAGTAAAGTTAAAAGACAAATAGGAATGGTGTCAGGGTCCTGTGTGCATATGCTTTGGCTGTTAGCTCATGTGGGACTCCTGACACTGGGAGCAGGTATATCTCTGTTTCTTTTGCCTGCTTTTAAGACTCATTTCCTCCAATGGGGTTGTGTGGTCCAGTGTTGATATGAGGGCTTTTGGCTTGTCTTATTGTATCTTCTTTTGTCCTTTTTGGCTGTCATCTCTTGGAATCCTGCTTTTTTCTGAAGGGAAATGGAGGGGGAGTGGATCTGGGGGAGAGGGGAGAGCTTGGAGGAATGGAGGGAGAGCAAACTGGTAGGGAGGTCAGAGAGAAGAATCTATTTTCAATAAAAAAAAAGAAATAAAGAAAGCAAAGTTGCATTTTATCTGAAGATCTCTGAAGTTTCAAAGAGTGGAAGGTAGGCACTACTAAAGGCTGGGTGCAGATCCCAGGCCTAGGAGAAATCCCTTAGGGCCCAGAGGCCTTCATTAGAGGCAGAGAAACTCAAAGGCTAGTGTCCAAGCTTCAGCATGCAGAGGAATCCTTCAATATGCAGGAAACTGGCAGTGCCACTGGGTGCAGGTTACAAAGCAAAGACACATTACATCACTCCCAGAAAGCAGTAAGTGGATGGTAAGAGATGGGAAGATATTTATGCTGGGACACAGGGGAAGTATTCTTTTCCCAGTACTTCCGTTAAACATTCTGCTGGGATTCCTAACCAGAAAGTAGAAATGAAAGGCATGGAATTTAAAGAAGTAAATGTATTATTCACAGATAAGGGAATGTTGTATAAAATGCTCTACATAAATAAAGAAGAACTACCGTAGTAAGAAACACACAACTAGAAATGGAGCAAGTAAGAGGATCATAATATTTAATATTGTGGGAATATGTTGCCTGGGAAGGTTCATTTCTGGTTCATGAAGTTCATATTTGGGCAAGACAAATGGGATCCTTCCTCCTCAGGAAGACAGCTCAGCCCTCTCAGTGGTTTGAATGCTCACCAGCATGGAGGTGTTACCTACTCAGTGCCAGCCTATTTTCTCTACATCTTCCATCCAAGGCAAGCGGTATATATGTAGTATGGTCTCATCCTCTAGTTGTGGTAAATAGTCAAAAGGATTGACAAAAGTATATGTTGTTTGGGGCAGGGGAACTTTTCATGGCCCATTCCCATAGAAGTATCTCATACCTGGAACTAGAAATTTTGTTCCATAACCCATAGTTTCCTAGCAACAGCACTTTTCCTTCAGTTACTCTTTGGGGTTTTTAGATTTGAGCTACAAGGCAGTCCTCAATAACTCTTTTATCCATGTTTTTAAACCTTTAGAATTTTATACACAGGTTATAAAACACATAAATCAATAAAAAATAAACTTACATTTTAATAAACTGTATTAAAGAGAGAAATATTGGAAAACATTCATTTTTCAACAGCTGTATTGCATTTCACTAATCTGTCGTGTTTATCATTTCTACAACTATCCAGATGCATGATGGGACTGTTACAGTGAGGTGTGCTGCTACAGTTTTTCTCCCTGCTTGGGTGCTCAGGAATATCCACTGGTAATTTGAACAAATATCACCTGGAGGTTTTATCCCAAAGTGAGAGTTATACACAATCAATAGAGTTATTTAGCACAATCAATGATGCAAAATATGAAATGTTTGTCTTAGGTTTTCTATCACTGTGAAGAGACACCATGACAATGTCAACTTTTAGAAAGAAAAACCTTTAATTGGGGCTGGCTTACAGTTTAGAGATTTAGCCAACTGTCATTATGTCAGGAAGCATGATGGTGTGCACACAGACATGATGGTAGAGAAGAAGCCGAGAGTTCTACATCTGGATCAGCAAGCAGCAGGAAGAGAGAGTGAGACACTGGGCCTGACTTCAGCATCTGAGACCTCAAAGCCCACCCTCAGTGACACACTTCCTCCTCAAAGCCACACCTACTCCAACAAGGCCACACCTCCTAATAGTGCCACTCCCTATGGGCCTAGGGGCACCATGTTCATTTGAACAACAATTTTACATATTAAAAGTAAATACTTAGAAACAGAAATTTAAATCTAACACACAAAGTAAATAAGTATAAGATATGGAAAAAGATCTATGTATTAG